CTTCTCCAAAGAGGACATCCAGATGGCCAACAGACACATGAAACGATGCTCAGCATCGCTCCTCATCAGGGAAATACAAATCAAAACCACACTGAGATACCACCTCACGCCAGTCAGAGTGGCTAAAATGAGCAAATCAGAGAACTCTAGATGCTGGCGAGGATGTGGAGAAACGGGCACCCTCCTACACTGTTGGTGGGAATGTAAACTGGTACAGCCCCTCTGGAAAACAGTGTGGAGGTTCCTCAGGAAACTAACAGTTTCTTCTTTAAAGACAACTGAATTTACTTACTGAGACCATCTTTTCATTCTTGAACTTGATTCAAATTAAGCCTTGACTAACGTTTGAAAAATGCTTTATCTATGAACAGTGTCTATTGGTAGGCATGTAGTTGGAACATTAGGAATATTTTTTTCTGTTTGTTCTCCTAGTGTTGAACATTTCCCAGTTTTGCAGGAGGGGCATAAAAGGGAAGCATTCTGATACCATAGTTCTACTGTACTGATTCTTGTCTCCTCTATGAAGTGGAGGAAATTCTACTATAAAGGCACCTTTTTAAAAAAGTGGGAGTGGTAGATAAGTGATTTTTCTAAGGACCATCTAGTAAGCAAAAACAATAGTGGTGCTATCTTATCAATCTTTTTATGTGTCAAGAGAGTACATTGTAGGACTCCTAATATGTAGAACGAAGACCATTCACATGTGCAGAATTACTTTGTGACTTTTCTCATAACTGGCAGAAACTATTTTTATTTAATCAGTTCATTACTCTGTTATGGTAAATTTCTGTCCCAAACATGTCCTTTAACTAGAGATAGTGAGATTATAAGAGAGAATACAGAGCTCCGTACATACCAACAATGAATGTATGAGTCTTCTGTCTTTGTAAATAAAAAGTCATTGTAATAGAAGAAAATTGTCATAATAACCCACTTTTTAATAATATAAAATACATATAAGAGACTATAATCCCTTGAAATGTTTTTTTATTTAAAATAATGTTAGCCTTAAATTTTTATTAAAAATTAGAGAACCCAAAAGTAATGGTCTCTTATGTATATTATTAAAATACCAATTAAATACCAATAATTTTTCAGAAATAAAATTCTGAGACCAATTCAGAACATGATGGCATTGTATTTTTTGCTTTAAAAGTTGGGAGATCACTGCTTCTAGTAGACAGAATATTAAGATATTTTTGCTATTATGAGATGATAGTATTCTTTGATCAGATATATACCTGAATAAGATATTTATATCATTTTGGATATGGTTCAGATGTTGTGTGTATAAAGTACCATTAAAATTTTCTTATTAGATATAGATTTATGGATTTGAGAACACTGTAATAAAATGTAAAGACAATCAGTGTGCTTTCATTTTAAATTATTTAATGAAAATAAACATTTACACTGTAGTTTGGTAAAATAGCCCAGATAAATAATACATATTAACTTATAAAAGGTAGGTATTAAAATATTTTGTTCAATGAGTAGCCTTTAGAGATAGTAAATCATCTTTATATCAACTGTGTAGACTGCTCTCACTGTCAAATAAAAGTAAAACTAAATATATTATCAGAGAGGATCTCAGTTAAGAAAATAGATCCTCATTTGTCTCAGTTTGTACAGTGTTTGAAAGAGACAAAAGTTTAAAAGAATCCTTAAATATCTTTTTTTAATTAGAAAATTGTACATATCATTGAAAGAAGGATTCACATACTTGGGTTTAATTTTTAATGTTATTATAGTATTCATTATCACTTACATAATCTTCTCTCAAGAAGTCCAGAGACATACTGTTTAATGGTGTACATTGTGTTACTCATATTTGCAGAACAGAGATCCAGTCCTTAAAGAAGATCAAATATTGCCCTGGGTATTTGTGATAGAGATTCATTAGAATCTGGTATCATTCTTTTCTCTGCTTTTTTAATGTCCTTAAGAGACACATAAACTTTTGTATTAACGTTTAGTTTTAAATTACTTCTTCACAGATACTCAAACATTCCCTAGTTAATTTCTCCAGCCTATATTTAAATCTCAATACAGGAGCATTGAGTGCTTCTGAAATTTCTTAGTAAGTAACCTAATTGTGATTTCTGTTAGGATAGTGACAGAGCTAACCACACTCCCTAATTCTTATTTAGAACCCTTTGCATAGGTCTAATGGAGGCTTCTAATTGATCTGGCAATCTAGACCTGCTAGGACGGTATGATCAGGCAGAGCTGGAATGTGAGCTGTTCTAGGGTTCATCCTTAAACAGTGTTAGACCAAGGTTAATCTGGAAATGGGTCAGAGATACCAGGTCATGTGGACTCAGTTTAACACCTCTGAGATTAGGTTCTGCTCTCTGCCAGCTCCTGTGTGGCCATCATGGACACCGAATCTAGCTGTGGCAGTGAACCAAAAATACCCAGCACAGAAGAGGGTTAAAGAGGAGATGGAGGTCAGAAGGCTCCCTACTGACTGGGAGTAAGAATAGGCTGCTTATAAATGGAAAAATGAGAATTCTTCTTATGGCAAGGTGGAGCATAGTAATTTAATGGACATCATTTTGTTTGGAAAATGCACAATAAATACCAGTTTGGTCATGTGTAGCCCTCTTTAATTGTGCATATAATGTCATCGTAACTGCATTTAAATGATTTATGAACATTAGTGAACTTTTAACAAAACATTCGAAAGTGCTGTATTGTGTGAGAAGAGGAATACAGTATCAGAACCACTTCTTAGCACTTTCAAATGGTTTCTAAGATCTAATGATCAAAAATTCAAATGATCTTTTGGTTGCTTATCTTTGGTTTTAATGATGCATTAGAATCTAAAGCATCTGAATTGTAGGTGAATGCTTCCTTTTTGATCCTGGACTCACAAGTCAGCCTTGAATTTGTTCTAAGAAAAGGATTTTCAAAATATCATTTCCTGTTTGGGGTGTGTTTATGTGTGTGTGTGTGTGTGTGTGTGTGTGTGTGTACATTCCAAATATAAAATATCTCCATTTATGAAAAATATCTTAGTTTTCTTGTTAGGTATTCTAGTTGATCTGAAAACTGCCGGTAAAGAAAAGTTAAAAACAAAAACAAAAACAAAAAAACCTACCACTGATGAATGGGTAACTGTGATACATTGCTATTACTGTTAGCTTTCACAGGCTGACTCTGATCTTCAGGTTGATGTTTTCCACCTGATTGGTCTATTGACTTCAGCATTTTAAAAACTAAGCAACTGAAGAGACTGCTAATTATAGTTTGTTATTTTAAGTTCCTTTTCCAACAGCAAAGGTTTTCTCAAAGTTTTGTTCTTTGGGAATTTGAGACTGTTTTTGTTTATTTGTCTACTATATGCCAAGATATACTGCATGCCATAGATAGAGTTAAGGCAGTTGATACTGCTACGTTTGCAAATATTGCTATCAAAATCGTTTTTTTCTCCAAAAACACTTGAAGAATTTCTTTCTATTACGTTTCTCATGTCCTTATAGGAACTACAGATGATGAAGCATTTTTAAACCTATAAGATAAAATGCTCCAAACTTAATTGTATGTGTAACTCATTACAAAATAACTCCCCTTGAAGACAAAAGTCAGATTTATAGTCTGTGCTCTTAGTAAGATTTTTTTAAAAACTGTTATGATTTTTGTGACTGCTTCTTTATTTTAAACTTTTCATCCTTGAATTATTAAAAAATCTTGCAAAAAGAATGGCATTTCAAACTGTTCCCTAGCTTTTGGTTTGTTTGTTTGTTTTTAAGAAACTAAGGAAGTTTATAGGAGAAAACACCACCTCTTTCTTTGTTATCCCATATTGTTCTACTTTGTGACTGTAAGTAGCATTGGTCTTTTTAAACAGTTTTAGCACAGAATCACATTTTCTTTAGTTTGCATTTAACATTTAGACGATCTATGTCTTGTAACTAGAAAGAGGTTCTGTGGCTTGATGTATTTTTCCCTTCCTACAAGCCCAGTGAAAAAATTAGAAATATTAAAATTTTGAAGTTCTGTTCCCAGGCTTCCTAGGTTACATTATTATGGCAATTATACTAATTATTATTATGAAAATTAGCATGATAATGTTGAAGTTATTGGGTGTTAATTTGCCTAAAAATTGTGAAGCTCTTTCTATTTCTTTTTCTTTTAAGAAGACAGTGCATATTCTTTTTATTAAATCAACATGTCTTTATGTATACTATTTGTTCTATAGAGCAAAATTGTCCTTGTATCTTAAAATTTTACTTTTTTAACCTTAGAAATATACTCTATTTGCATTTGTTGGAATTTCTTGAGTAAGTTTACCGTCACCTGAGTTATATTTTTAAATTCTAATTTTTATAATTTCCTAAATTTATTACATCCCCTATAATCATTACTCTTTCTACTCTGTAGTCTGTAACATTTTAGATAATGTTCATAGGTCTGACTTTTTCTACCCTACTTCTGTCACTTCGATGAAGTTAATACTTTTGTTCACTTAAAAATTTATGTGTTTGGCTCATTTAGTAATTTATACTTATATTAATCATATAATTACATATATAATAATCATATAATTGTTAAGATGGCTCATGAATCTATTCATGAAATGAAAATGGTTTTAAATATCTAGAGCTTTTAAAATTAAAAACTTTTAATAAGAATTTTACTTTAATTTGTCATTATAGGTTCAATGTAAAATGTATAGTTGTATGAATTTCCTTGAATTCTGTAAGCTGTTTTAGGTCTTCAAAATTAATTTTATATTAATTTGAAGGTTAATTGTTAGAATTAAATGTATCTATAAATGTAGTTACATATTTCATTCATGGAATGCTGTTCTTTGAATGCTTACACTGCCGTTAAGGTCTAATTTAGATTAAAATTATTAAAAGATGACATTAAATTTCTAATGCTTGAGGAATAAATGGAGTGGAATATATGTATGAACCTAATATTTCTCTTTCTAATGTACAGTAAAATGCCATCACTTTGTATTGCCTAAAATGTTATTATAAAAACAGTTAGGTACGTTTTAATAAAAGAGTTATAATATATTAAATTTGGCAATACATAGTAGTTTAACATTATCGTATTAGCTAAAGTATTTATTATGTATATAAATTAAGTGGCTCAGTAATAAGAAAATCTTAATTGTTGTTGACTATTAAAGTTGTATTCTTTTCTCCACAACTAACACTTACCTCCCCCCACTTTTACTTAATTTAGTAGCAACTTTTTCCTAACATTTCAGTCAAACAGATAAGTGAGAATTTACAGTATTTTCAAACCTCTGTAAATTTGTGTTTGGACACTTATATTTCTTACTTGGATACAAATACCTATTCTTTTTTCATGTGGTCTTGTGGAAATATATGATGAACTTGATTTGAGCTTACTGCATATAAATAATATCATAGAAAAAGTTTATCCAATGTAATCTCTACACTGAAACGACGCTGTAGTGCTATTTGTTATGCAGTGGAGTTAAGTATATGTAAGATGGGCCTGAGATTCCATGGAATTTAAATATTTAAGTACCAAAAGACTTGGAATGAAGTCATCTCACATATGTATTTGGGTCCACCCACAGAACTCCACCATACAAAGTTACAGTGATGTTCCAGTGTATTTACTTTGAAAGCAAACAATGCAGACATTTATTTTTACTTTCTTATTATAGGCTCCCAGCAGTCTTATGGAGACCCTTGAACAGCATCTAAATACATTAGAAGGAAAGAAACCCGGAAACAAGTATGCATTAGTTGTATATTCTAAATAAAGATGAAAAATGCTACAGTCGTTCTTTGTAAGAATGTATCATGGTACCACGTATACTACTACAGATTTAGGGTATGCTTTATTGTAATTCTTCTAGGTTCCCTGAAAGACCCCATTCATCTGATTAACTCATGGCAATGTGACCCCATGTATAGGCAATCGATCTGCAGGCTCATGCAGCAAATTAGTAGGTTGTATGTAGGTTGCCTGAACTTGCTGAAATATATCCCTGCCGTTAGAAGGGATTCACAATATACAGAAAAAGAGTTGCTCATGTTTAAAAATTGAGGCTTCTCTATTGGGCATATGAGTAAAGCAATTTCACAGGTAGCCTTGAACATTCTCTTACATTGCCAACCCCGTTGTGAAAAAAGCAGAGCCCCTCAAGTCTGGTTTTCTGCATTTTAGACTCTCTCTACTTGAACCATTCAGTATGGCATGCTGCTGACATTTTGCTCAGAGATCTTTCTTAGAGAATAGCAATCAGCAATAAATGCAGTTTTACCAGATTTTCATATCTTTGTGTTTGGGCACATATATTTTTCACTATTTTTACCCATTGCATGAAAAATGTCCAAGTTCCATTTCTTTTCTTCTCTCTAGCAAGTATCAAACTGGTCTGTTCACAAGACCCAGTGCTTTCCAGTCTTTGTGCCTTACTCAGATTACGGTTCTGCTAGTCTTGGATGCCTACCTTCCTTGTCTCCATGTGTGCAGGTCTTACCCATCCTGGGAGGGCTATCTCATTAAGCCTTCCTTAATCATGCATTACCCTGTGTTGTGGCCATTTTGTTCCCACATATGTGGTTTAAATAGGTTTTCTGAATCTAAAGTTCAGGGACTTTTTTATACTTCATTATCTCCACCTATAGTTCTCTCTACAAAGTGAGCTCAAAATCTGTCTTTGTCGGTCCCAGCTTTTTGTGTATTTCATTTAGATTGATAGCAGAAGTTAACAGAGATGACCTATGAAGTGATCATTGCAGGGCTGTATGCTGAGCATGGATTTTACCTACGATACAGCTATCAAAATGCAACTTCTTTCTGCTTTATTCTCTCTCAGCATTTACGCAGAATCTAGATTCATGTCTCAGTGTTACTTTTTGCTTGTTGTTCCATTAGCTAAGTGTCATTTTATTCAATCTTTTGTAAGTTAATATAAAAGTTATTGCATATTTAAAATTTTCAATGATAAACAGTAGCGTAGGAATCTCTCAGGCAGTTATAGCAGAGCTGTTGGGTATGATGCGTGGCAGCACTTCTCAGGGGCTTTGTCAAGGTTATCACCACAGTGCAAGGTCTGCCCCTGCTTCATGGTAGCCATGGATGGTCAGACTTTTGTGGATATACTGATATCAACTAAAAGACATGGAGAGTACATTAAGTGACATGGGAGTGCATTAGATACCCACTTTCAGTTATTGCTGGGGGCACCCAGTGTAGAGTATCTAAGAAGCTAAAGAAGTTGTATAGGATTTAAGCAAAAGGAAGCACGAAGCCTAAGAAATGTCCCTGCTCCTTTGATGGAAGGACCTTTAGCTAAGGAAATATGCACATCCCCTGGACTTAAAGCCTCTCCCTTGGGCAGTACCCAATACACGTTGGTGAAAAGTCAGCTGGTCTGTCCAGTCCCCCACAGCCCACACAGAACCACACATTCCCCTTGTTAACTCTGCCAATGCTGCAGTCAACAAAAAAGCAGCTTTCTAGGGTGAATTTCATTAGCCCCAACTTCAAGTCTAAATTCGCCCCCTTGTGGCTGCTGGAGACTATTTTTGGAAAACAGCTATGTACACATAGTCACATTTCTAAGAGCAAGGAAATCGAATTTCAGTGATCTTCTATTTTGAATTACCTCTGAGCATAATGTTTCTCTCTCCTTTAAAATCTTTTTATGCTTGTCATATTTCTTTCCTGAATTGGCTGAGAGACTAAATATGAACTTGTCTTTTGCTTATTCCCTATTTTTAAAATAAATGAACTATAGTAGTTAACTGTTTTCTTCTTTGTATGTTTGTGCTTACCTGGGAACTTAAGTGAAGGGTGAGTACTACACTGAGTGGCTTTTTTGCATTTGCTTATTACTGAAAATGCAAAAAGCACTCTTAAGACTCCACATTTGGTATTTAGAACATTTAAAACTGATTTCTGTCACTTTTACACATCTGTGTTTTTTCATCATACTTTTTTTACTTGTCTCCCAAGGTGACTGGCATAAATGGTTTTACTTTATTTTGGTCTTCTCAGATCAAGACTACCAGTCTCTCTTAGGTGTACTACTCTTAGATTTTGGAAATAAAAGGTTTTTATTTTATTAGTGAAAAGAGTTTTTCCCATGGCATATGGCAGGAGTGCCAAAAGACAGTATTATGGAGAAAACTAAAGTTGTTTGTCTGCTTTATACTGTTTGTAGCAGTATAAAATTATTGTCATCTCTGAGTCAAGGAAATGCATACAATGAAGCATTTTTAAATGTCTGCTATAAAAATATGTATGCTCTTTATAGTTAATGGCTTTTATCCACTGATATTTATTTTTAAAGTCTTATGTAGTACTGGGTGACATATTTGTATATTTTATGTTTCTGTGATTCCATAGAGCAAAAGAGAAATTGATTTTATTTCTATAAGATAAGTAAAATGTTGAGGGTACAGGAAACCTGAGATAAGTCCGTTGTCATTAAAATTATTTGGAAGGTATAGATAGATTTTCCATAGCTGTTTTCTTTTTTGTCTTCTGTCTACCATCTATAATCAAAGTTGTGTAGAGATTATTATTGTGAATAATACATAACAAAATATGCTCATCTGATGGCTAACTATTAACATCTTAGAAGTAAACCTTGGCATTTTCTGTGTTCATCATAAAAACTCATGGATTTGTCTGTAGCATTTCACAGAATTTAGGAAAGGACTATATAGGTCATTCATTCTCTCCTAAAATTATATTCGTGTTTTATTCTTCGTAACACAGTTCAATATATACTAGATTTCTCTCATTAAAATTATTAAAATGAGTATTGGCTTTTAGTAAATGTCATTATATAAAAGATTCTAGCAGTTTCTTTTATAAAGGACGAATGACCAGTGGTAGGGCATTAAATGAATCAAGAAACTGGTGAAAGGAAGCAGTTTGTGTGTTGTGTAAGAGAGGAACACATGCGTTGGGCCCATGTGTGTTTTTGTCAAGACAGTCTGGAATGTGAAACGAGTGCAAGCTCTGGGCATCAGATGGACTTGGACTAGAGTCTTAAATCCACCATTAAAGAATGATGAGGCTTGGGCAAGTTGTTTACATCGCTGATCCTTGCAGCCCTTGGATTTTAATCAGTGATTAATGATGCTTTTTAATGCTGTGGCCCAGTGGGAGCACACCTCTGGTTCTGACCTCTTCTATGAAATCATGGCAAAGGCTAAGTAGGGTCCATAAGAACAGACGTCACATTTCCTGACAGTTTAGTTTCACAGAAAATAATTTTAAGATTCTTGGTTAAATTTTTTTTGTACAAAGAGTACATGAATGTATTCTTATTCTAAAATTAAAATTATACAGAAATATCAGTGCCTGCAAAATGCCAGATGTTGTGTAAAGTGCTGGGGATATACAGGAATGGGATGGATTCCCTTCCTTCAGAGAATTTAGCATCTAGTGGAAAAGACAGATAACTAAACAGACAAATAAGGTACAGTGTAGTAAGTGGGGTGATGACTAAACAGAGACAGGAGCTTTTATTTATTTGCTTAATCCAGGAGTAACTAGAAGTGTCATTTAGTAATGGTGCTCATGGAGGAGCTTGGCAAACTGATTCTTTTGCCAGTTATGGTATTTGTACTTAGGTTTGAGCATGATAATCTTCAAATAGCAGGTATTTGCAAGTAAAGTTGGACATCAAAGTTATTAATGTGACAATATTATTACATTTATTGTGCTACATTCAATAAAACAAAAATTTATGATACTATACAAAATTTCATTTACTAAATCTCTGCTAGTTTTGTTTTGCTAGTGCTACTTGTGGTTTTCTCTGTGGATGAGGAGAAAACCATCCCCATCATCCTGAACAACTCTGACACTAGGCTTCTTATTGAAATATATTTTTTCTTCATTTTGTTTCATTATTATTTTCCACCAACTTGGGTTGGTAAATGGTAAGCAGTTTAAGCATCTGTTTCTGAAGCACTTTGCTAGAGATCATGTACAATAGTCAGTGCTAGTAGTAATCTCACTAAAAACAATTTTACTGCTTTCTAATTTTCTTACTCCTTTAGAAACAAGCATTGAGGTACTGTTATTTTTCAAGCTCCCACTGCTTCAAACAGGATAGTGGGAATATTTTCCATAGTTTTCATTAAAGCAATGAACAAAACAAACCTCAGGAGTATACTGTGTGGAAGTTGAGACACACTTCTGACACAGGGCTCATAGGGATTTTTTAAGTCTAGTGTTACTTTTACACATCACTATTGTGAATAAATGAATTACAGGGTACCTTAATGAATTTTCTAACTTTTTAAAATAGTACATCAGAGGGTTGGGTTTTTTTAATTCTGTAAAGCACTATGTTCCTCAAGTCTTGGCAACATTTTTAAAATTCTAAATTTATTTTTGCTGGACACAGGCAATAATGATCAACTCAAAGAATTGAGTTGCTAGGGATATTAAAAAAAAAAAAAAGCTTGAGTTTCAGAATTTCTAGTATTAGCAATTAAGTGAATGGAAAACATTGAAAGAGGATATCATAATTGAATGAAAGAAAAATTATTTTTTAAAAAATACTTTATCCATTACTAAAACATCTATATATAAACGAGCTAATACTTGACCAAGTGATACCAAACTTAAATGCTTCTACAAATTTATTCACGTATAGTCAGTTTTAATTTTTTTGGTTGCCTTTTAGATCTGGTGCTCCCTCTCCACTAAGTAAGGTAAGTTTGATCTTTCTTTTGTTTTGACCATTTTAGTAATTTTTGAGTGTACAATTCGATGGTATTAACATTCACATTGTTATGCAACTATCAATCACTGTCATCCCATTTCCAGAATTTTTTTCACCCAATGTGAAACCCCAATCCCTTTCAACACTAACTATACATCCTTCTCCTCAGCCCCAGGCAGCCACCATTCTACCTTCTGTCTCTGTGAATTGACTACTCTAGGTACCTCATATAAGTGGACTTGTCCAGTGTCTATCCTTTTTTGACTGGCTTATTTTCCTTAACATAATATCTTGGGAGATTTATTTATGCTGTAACCTATGTCAGAATTTCCTTCCATTTTAAGTCTGAATAACATTCCATTGTATGTGTGCACCACATTTTCTTCATCCTAGTTTGCCTCCACATTTTTTTGGCTGTTGTGTAAAGTATGCTGTTGTGTGTACATGGGTGTACAAATACCCGTTTGAGTTCCTCTTTTCAGTTCTTTCAACATATACTCAAAAGTGGAATTTCTGGATCATGGTGATTTTATTTTTTAAGTTTTTAAAGAAAAGAATGGTAAATTTTGTGTATTCTACTTTATATTAGTTTCTCAGGCCAGTGTACTCTGGCAGTGTCATCTCAGTCCTCTATTTGGACTAATTTTTTTTTTTAAGTAGGAAAAATATTCATCCATTTATATTTCAACTGAAAACAAACATAACATTTTACTAGTTACAAAGCACGTACATACTCTAAATCACAGCCCTATGAGATAAATAAAGCACATAATTTTATGCTTGTTTCATTTAAAAAGTCAATTGTAGTTGGGTATATTTCTGCAAGCATGCTTTTTAGACAGTCTACTATAATAATTTTAATAATTCTTTCACCTCCCTCTTTTTTAATTTATTGAAAGACACGATTAGGATTATCAGTGACAATAGTATTTTTTTCCCCTAGGTCAGTGGTTCACAGTTGGCATTGTACTTTTTGGGCAAAAATGTAATAAACGTGCTCTTTCCTCTATGACAGATTCCCATTATGTGATTGCTGTTATTACAGAGATGAAGGATATCATTATGACTGCAGTGGTGGTTCCCAGAAACCCTGTACTGGGTCAATACTGGGCTGGCTGCCTACGATTCCCTCGGGCAGCTCAAACATACAGGACTCTGGGGACTGTGATACAACACCAGTTTTAAAATCATTATGTCTCTGTGAAAAATCACAACTTATGACTGCAGAGTAGCGTGTGGTAAAAATTATGGCATCATTTGGCATGGCTTGTCTCCCCATTTTGGCCAAGTCACATTTTATTGGTATTTTCTTTTTGTAATAACAGGATTATTCTGGTTCTATTTCCCTAGCTCTCTCATTTCTTCAGAGCGGATAGTTAAAAGCAGGTTTTAATGGGTCTTTGAAAGACCTTCATTTCTGCGTTTATGTTGGTAGATTCATTGTCATTAGTTCTCAGTAGTATTTTCAAAAACCTCCTCTCCAAACTTATTTGCATGTACTGGTTTAAAAAACACTGGTTTATTTTGGAGGAGTTGTCAGTATCCACAGTGGATGACATACAAATTAAATTTTGTTAGTCCTTTCTGTTCCCTTGATAATCTTTTATGTTCCATTTGAAAACTTTGGTGCAGAGAAAGGTTTGAGTTAACCTTTTCTGAGCAACAGTATCCACTCAGATGTTTGTCTTTCTTGACATGCTGAATGCTTTGCACTTGTGTATCTGTTGAACTGTGACTTCTTGATTCATGGACAAATTCTTTCTTATTCTGTCTTATTCTTAGACAAATACTGTTTAAGTCTAAAACCCTAACATTATCTCCTCAGTCCTTTTTCTAAAAATTTATTCTTTTTTAAAATTTTTAAGTGTTTATTTTTAAGGGGGGGGCACGCAAGCTGGAGAGGAGCAGAGGGAGAGAGAGATAGGGGATCTGAAGTGGGCTCTGCACTGACAGCAGCAAGCCTGACACAGGGCTCAAACCCACAAACTATGAGACTGTGACCTGAGTGAAAGATGCTCAACTGACTGAGCCACCCAGCTGCCCGTAAAGCTTTCTTTAAATTTGGTCTCTTTGAAAGTAGATGTCCATTTACAGCAGTATCTGATAGCCCTTGGATGGTCTTAGTCTTCATGTGTTTTACCTGCTATTATATAACATTTCCACTTATAGAAGTAAGTATTGGTGGGCTGGTTTGAGATGCTCTATTACGCTTTACCTTGTAAATACATGGAGAATTAAATATAGCAAATAAAGAGAAATAGAATTAGGATAGTTAACCTCAACAAAAATTTTAATTTTTTACTATAACAACTGACTATTAACTCTTTTTTAAAAATCAGTCCAGGGATACATGAGTGGCTCAGTCAGTTGAGTGTACGACTTCGGCTCAGGTCATGATTTCACTGTTTGTGAGTTCAGGCCCCACATTGGGCTGTGTGCTGACAGCTCAGAGCCTGGAGCCTGCTTTGGATCCTGTCTCCCTCTCTCTTTGCCCCTCCCCTGCTCCTTCTCTTCCTCTCTCTCTCCTCTCAAAAAATAAAAATAAAAAACATTTTTTAAAAAAATATCAATCCAGCACAGGGCACCTGGGTAGCTCAGTAGGTTAAGCATCTGACTGTTGATTTTGGCTCAGGTCATGATCTCACAGTTGTGTGATGGAGCCCTGTGTCGGGCTCCATAGTGAGCATGAAGCCTACTTAGAATTCTTTCTCTCCTCTCTCAGCCCCTCCCCCATTTGCAAACACACACCTCTTCTCCCTCTCTCTCAAAAATAAATAAACATTTTAAAAACAATAAATAAACTAATCCAGGACAGTAAGTGTTAGATTTTTACCTTTTTAGTTTTATCTATGTCATATTAGAGATTGGATATAGTCATGACACCCTTAAGCTGTCAGTGGCTTGAATCTAGTTTATGAATTATTCTCTGCCATCTGTGAATTATTTTGAAAGTTAGATTTCTAGAATTTAAAAGCTTCTGAGGAGATTTTATATGAAGTCTGGTTAGGATGTGAAGGAAAAAGAATGGCCTTGGTTTTATAGCAATTATTCCAATTGATAATTTTTTTTTCACTTTTAGCAGCTAGTGAGACCCTTCCTGCTAGTTTTATGTTTAGGATATATTATTTAGTCTTGATTTTAAATACATGACTAGAAGTAATTGCAATGTTAAGCCAAATATTTTAAACATAATCTTATATAAATTACATTTAACTCTGAAAACTTGAAACCTGTTTTGTCCAATATCGATTGCTTATTATAATTCTCAATTTCAAATTTTCTTGAGTTTTTTTCTCCCACAAGGAGTTGTTACCCAGAAGTTGCCGTGAATGTCCTAGGTCTGCTGAGTTGGAGTTCTGTTGCTCTATGTCCTTTAGATTCTCATTTGACTAGAGTGTGTTGTGCATCTTCACTTTCAGTCTTCTCCAGCCACAACTGTTACGTCTCCTAATTCTACACCAGCTAAAACGATCGACACATCCCCACCAGTTGATTTATTTGCAACTGCATCTGCGGCTGTCCCCGTCAGGTTAGTTGATGAGCATGCAGTCAACTGTTTATTAATATTTTGATTAGTTTTTTGTCTTATTTTTGTCTGTTGAACCACCATGTTGTCAGAAAATGAAATCTAGTCCTGTGACATATGATAGTTTGGGCTATTTTTAAGTTCACACAGTAAGTTCTTTGACATTTTGGTCAGTTCCCTATGCCTGGACTCTCAAAACATCAGAAAGGCCTAAGCTGTGGAAATAACCTTCTTGCTCACACATTTAGGAAAAGAGGTGGAAGAATCGTACACACATTGAGATGATATGGAAAATGACTTCTGAAATTAAACTCATCTTGTATGAAATTTAAAGGGTGTCTTAAGGTGCTTTAAAAAAAAAAAAAAAGCATAGGCAGAGGGAAGGGGGCAAGATGGCGAAGAAGTAAGGAGCTCCGTACGTGTGCTCGCGCCCATACATCACACGCAAAAGACCTGAAGCCATTGGAAACGTTATGAAACCTGAGAGATTGGGAAAAAAAAGGATGCAGAATCCACTGAGAAAGCCTTCTAACGTGAGTGCGAACTGGGGAAGATCAAATCGGGCTGAGATCCGAGACTCCAGGTCGGAGGCTATCCCCCCCTACCCTCTACGGGGAGTGAGAGGGGAAAAGGAGAGAGTCTGAAACAGAAAAACCTCTGCTGGGGGGGGGGGGCTCCGCTCAGGGCATAGAGAGACCGTACTTTCCAAATTCCTGCATGCCAGGTCCCCTCGTGCCGACTGGTCCCGGGGGGGGGGGGTGGGGGGGGGGGGGCAGCGCACAGACTGCTTCTTTGTGCTGGCTCCTGGCGGCTGGGCTTCAGTGTAGTGGCGCACCAGCCTGACCCAGAGAAGGAAGCAGCGATTCTGACTCCNCTGCATGCCAGGTCCCCTCGTGCCGACTGGTCCCGGGGGGGGGTTGGGGGTGGGGGGGCTGAGCGCACAGACTGCTTCTTTGTGCTGGCTCCTGGCGGCTGGACTTCAGTGTAGTGGCGCACCTGCCGCCATTGTCCTCCCGGGCAGCTCGTGCCCCTGAAAGAGCCACGCGGACACTGGGCGTCCGCGCTCCTGGCTGGCTGGGGCTCCAGAGGGAAGGCAAAGAGCTAAAAACTGGGAAATGTGCCTGTGAGTTCGGGTTTCGGGTGATGAGCCATAGAGGGACCTGGTTTTCCTCACTCCAGTGGGCTCGGGGGCTCCGCGCACCCGGCAGGCAAGCCCCCGCCCATGCTCACCAGCCTGACCCAGAGAAGGAAGCAGCGATTCTGACTCCATCCCCAGAGCTCGGCAGGGGGCCTGGAATTGCCCCGAGGGGGTTGCCTGGGAAGCTGTGTCTAAGGCAATTTCAGTGGGGCGCGCAGACTGGGATTTGGAGATTGGGATGGCCTGAGTTGAAGAGTGCAACCAACTTTGGCTGCGCCCCCAGTACGGGGACTTTACACACCCAAAAAAGCGAGGTGCAGTGCTTGGTTCAAGAAGGGACTGGAGCACCGTCACTCTCCTCCCCACAACCGCCAAGGCAGAGCTCCCGCCTGAGGCATTGGATCACACCACGCCCATCCCTGCCTGAGAGCTGCCCTCATCCCCTTTTTTTTTCTTTTTTTTCCTTTTTTTCCCCCATATTTTTTTTTCTCTTTCTTTGTTTCTTCTTCTTTCTCTTTTCTCTCTTTTTTCCCCAGAACACTGACTTGATTAACTCTGGTCGCCAGCTTGCTTAAACAATCACAACGAGTCCATTCTGTAGATGTAAATTCTACACCTACCGGCATTTTCATCTCTTTCTCTCAGGAGTAATTAGACTATATTGTTTCTCTGGATAATACCAAAATCCTTCTCTCACCTATCCAACCATATTCTACCCTTTACCTCTTTGAAAAATGCTTCTTATCCCTTCTGCCTGTTCAGGCTATTTCCAATTTTGCCTCATCCCGGCCTGCCTTCTCTCTCTTTCTCTATGCTCTTCAACCAGCACTGCATACACACGGCTATTTAACTGTAGCTGGGAAATCCAGTTGTATGCTTTAAACCGTTCTTTGTCCATTGGTTTTCTTCTTTTTTCCTTTTCTTTTCTCCTTTTTGACCTTTTATGTATTTTATACTCCCTATTATTTGCCCTCCCTCCTCCGTCTTTTCTCTCAACTTTTTCGTTTTCCCTCTCGCTTTGCATGTTAGTTGAATTAGCCTGTGTGTTTGTGTGCTTCTGCTCCCTGTGTGTTTCTCTGTCTGTTATCTATTCCAGGACTACCTCAAGAAACAAGCCAGAATACACAAGGTGGAGAGTCCCAAATATCACTACGAATAGGAAAATAAAATAACCAAGGTCCCAACAAGGAAGACCAAGAGATACCATTCGAAAAACACTCTCTGAAAAGATAGGCCCTGGACAAAGAGTCTTCTTGTGTAAAGCAGCGCTCATAGATACAGAGAGCATAACAGGTCTTTAAAACCAACAAGAGCCAGAAAGCTAACTAAAATGATGAAATGAAAGAGCTCTCCTCCAAAAAGCTCCAAGAAGAAATGACAGCTAATGAACTGCTCAAAACAGATATCAGTAGCATCACTGAACAAGATTTTAAAATAATAATGGTAA